CCTTATCTTGATTTGGATGATAAAACATCATTCATATAATGCAAGGTATATCAAGCATGACAATGACATAGGCTCTTTAAAAATAGGTGCAATAGTAATTTTTTTATTATTATCCAAATTGATTTAAAAATAAGCTTAGGGTAATGCTGATCACTTGTTTAAACATGAACCACCCATATGTTGCTTATTTCCTATGATTAATATCAACATTGCAAATTGAGAAGTTTACTTGTCAATTTCTTGACAATGCTTATTCTTTAATATAAGGTAAGGCCTTATTTAAAAATTTGATATGCATGAAATTGATTAGTTTGTTTTTTATAGTTGTTTTGATCTTATTGTGTGTATTGTGATTTGTTTTGATATTTGCTATTAATTATTTATTGTAGTTTTAAGTGACACAAACTCATTATCAACACAATCACCCTCGACACAAGATTTGAATTAAAAGCTTGAAGACAAGATTTTGGTGACTACCTATTTCATAGTTCTAGTACTATTTTTTTTTATGCAATATTATTTCTATATGATTTTAGGGTGGACTTTAGAGAATATACTACATTTAATAACCAATTCAAATATTTGGTGGATTTGCAAGAACATTAATTTAGATTTGCAAGAACACTAATTTAGATTATACTACAAAAATGACTGTGATGATTTTATTTTATATATAAGATTTAATGACGTTAATTATGTCACCAATACTACGATGATTTACCATTCGTTACTAATATATAAGATTTTATCATTTATTTTGTAATGATTATAGCCTTTAATGACCTTTTTTTTTTTTTCATAAATAGCTTACAAAAACTAAAATCACAAAAATTAAAAGCATAAGATGACGTTTGATTTTATTGTTACAATAGACATTATCTTACAATCATTGGTGATAATAATTGTGTCACTAATACTAAGACAATTTACCTTTTGTCATTAATATATCAAATTTTATCATTTATTTTGTGATAATTATAACTTTCAACGATGTTTTTCTTCATAAATAGTTGATAAAAACCAACGTCACAAAAAAAAAAAAAATAATGTGACATTTGATTTTATTTTCACGTTTTACATTATCTTATAATCATTGTGATGATAATTATGTTACTAATATTATGGCGATTTACTTTTCGTCATAAGATATCAAAATTTATTATTTATTTTGTGATAATTATAACTTTTAATAATGTTTTTTTTTTCATAAATAGTTGATAAAAACTAACGTCACAAAAATTAAAATATAAGGTAACATTTGATTTTATTATCATGATAGATATTTTCTTACAATCATTGGTGACATTAATTGTGCCACAATACTGTGATGATTTATCTTTTGTCACTAATAAATTAGATTTTATCATTTATTGTGACGATTATAGTCTCTAATGATATTTTTTTTCATAAATAGCTAACAAAAATTAACGTCACAAAAAAAAAAGATAAGGTGATATTTTATTTTATTATCCTGGTAGATTTACAATAAGTGACAATATTTTGATATTGTCACATTAGAACTTTAGAGATGATGCAAACATAACGAACATCATGACTTTAATTTTTTGTCACAAAATATATATGGTGACGAAAAACAAACATTTAGTGATATTATTCTATGCACCACTAATATCTAAATTTGTTGTAGTGAATAATATAAATTATTATTTTAGATTAATTAAAACTAATATATTTTTATTTAAAATATATATTAATATATGTTAAAAAAATACATAAATATGCAAGATAATTTAAAAAAAATTTGAAAAAATACATTTTGTTTTTTTTTTTAAGTTACAAGTACGAAGATTATCATTAAATACCTGCAAGTATGGGGATGAGAATAGATTTAAAATACTCTTTAAATATAAAGTACAAAAATAAATATAATATAAAAATTGGATATTCGGATGAGAAATACTCTACCCAACCATACCCTACCATCGACATCCTTAATTCTATCTTTCTGTGCAAGAGGGAGGTTATTATGTCTTTAAAATGTATTTATGTGTGTTGATGACAAAGAACCAATGACTGTGACAAATAATGAAGCCGATGAAAGCATTCATGTTGTCCCTAGATTCTGCTGAGTTTTATGCATAAGTTTCATAATGATTTTTCATTCTTTTTAGGAATAATGTTGAATTTTTAGCTCTTGATTGGAAAGGTAACCCCACAATGTTTATTCATTTTTACACCAAAAGAAAATTTAGTTATGCAAGAATAAATATAGTTGGCAAAAATGGGAGGTGGTTTGAATATAAAGTAGTTAGTGAAAACAGGTTGGTCTGTTTTCAACCTTTTAATAGTGCTGCTGCAGTAATTGACGGTTCATGTGACCCCTGAGAAACAGTAATATGGTTTTAAGGTTGTTTAAGTAGTCCCTAATCATCTTTTGTAGTATTGAATGTGTCCACTAGCATTATTGTTGCTGGAATTATGTTGATTTGTGTAACCTTTAAGGTGCCAGGTGTAATCCCAACATTTTTATTCATTGTGGTTATAGCTTTACTAGATGTTTCAGATAAATTTTTGATGAGATTTACAATTATTTTTAGATACTAAAAAGTTATTTATTTTAATAAATAAAAAATTTAACCCACTATATCATGCGGGCTTATTTCTAGTTTAAAAACCTCAAGCTACATTTGGATGCAACAGAACTTCCAGTTAGATTTAGTTGCCATCCAAAACCAAAAGTCACTGTTTATTATCCAAATTAAATAGTGGTGAGATGCACTTGGCATAATTCAATCACACTATTCCTTTTTTTTTTTTTTAACATTTTAGATTCAGTTGAAATTAATTTTTTCATCGTGGCAAAACTTTCCAATTTTGTTCTTTTTTTTTTTTACCCCTAAGCATATAGTGTGAGGACAAAATTGTCCCTATTACTTACTCTTCTTTTTTTTTCTTCATTTTACTTTTTAATTATAATAAATAAATTTTTTTACAATAAACTAATAAATAAAAAAATATTTTTATAATTAAATAATTAATTAAAATAAATAATATATAAATAAACATACTAATTTTTATTTCCTACAAATTTTAGTTTAATATTTTTAATAGCTTTTTTTTTTATTACTTATCAACACTATTATTTTTATATCTAAATACATATCCAACTATTAATTTTAATTTTACAATTATAATAATCAATCTCACAATTAAAATAATTAATTTTTATTTTTATTATTATTTTTAATTTTATCGAAATTAATTTTACTACTAACCACCCATCTAAATGGACTCTCCAATCGATACATCCAACCGATTTGATCATCGAATCAGATATCAAACTCTTATAAGAGTTCAATTAGTCAAAGACCAATTTAAACCTTCTTCCAATAATCAATAATTTTTTATTATTTATCAAACACTAAAACTTTATATTTATCAACCTGACGTTCATACATAAATAGAATCAAATTTTTTGTGAGCATAAAAATATATGATTCAGAATTTTGTATTTCTCCAAATTAATATATCTCTCAATAAATTTAGCACAAATGAGTGCACGAAAGGAAAAAAGTAAGAGGAGGAGAAAAAATAGGTTAATTGGTTGAAAAAATAGGCAAGGATGCTAAACTACATTCACCTACTAAAATATAATATAAAATTTTATCAATTGCGTAGTGACTTCATTGCAGCAGCTTCTCAGTTCTTCAGCCCAACAAAGTATTGGGAATCAGTGCCAATTATCCTTAGATATCAACCCCTTTCCAAATCTCACTTATTTCATAAGAAATTTTTGTACTTTCTTATGGTATGGGTGCCAACAAATTTAATTTAGGCTAAAATAATTATAAAATTTTTTTTAAATTTTGCCCTTTTATAATTTTATTACACTTAATAAACCTTTAATTTTTAAATTATATCCAAATAAATCTGTAATTTTTTATTTATACTTAAATAAGCTCTCAATGTAAATCAATCTTTTATTTGAAATAAAAATTTATTATGATACAAATTGAAGAAAAAGAATTTATTTAGATATAATACGGCTTTATTTAGCATTATTGTTGAAAATAAAATTTGCGTTTAAAAGTTACTCTTGATCCAAATGCAATGCTAAATCATAAATAAATTTTGACATTTCAATTTAAAAATTTGGTTTTCCAATCCAACCAAAAAAACTAGATAGTTTTGTAGTGAAAAAGTGTGTTTGGGATAAAAAATCAATTTATTATCCATATATTTCTAATGTTTTATTATTTTATACAAATATTTTTGGACATTTCAATTAAACACTATATTTTTTACAGTAATACCAAATACTTAAAATTTCTCATCACACTTTTTAAATGCACTTTTTCAACCAAGCTTTTTTCAATCACAACTACAATGCTAAACTAACCCTAAAAGACTAGTGGTTAAATTAAAAAATTGAAAAAAGAGGTTTTTAATATTTTGGCCTTTAATTTGTGAAGAAAAAAATATTTATGACTTTCAAAGAAAATAAGAAGAGGGAGCTAATAATATTATCCTCTTTCAGTTCCTCTATTTTCTATTATTTTCAAACAAAATTTGAGTCTATAACCATGAAAGATTGGTTGGAATGAAATGAGCTAATTCAAGTTTATGAATCAGAATAGAAGCGGCCTACAAATTCAAGGAAAATAGTTAGAAGAAGTTTCTTTAAAAGTGAAATTCATTATTAAAAATGATTAAATAAATGTTAAAATCAAAATTAAAATAGATAGATTGAAAGATTTAATTACATAGATTAAGTGTATAAAATTTGAAATAATTTTAATAAATTTTGATAAATATTTTTAGATAGACAATTTTAATAAAAATATTGATAAAATTTTTACTGTTAAATAAATATCAATTGAATTAAAAATTATAAATAATTTTTTTATATATTTTTAATTTTCACATTAAATTCTATCAATTTATCAATTTAAATTATTTATTAAAATTTTTATTAAATCAACTTTTAAGAAAAATTTATAAATTTTACTTAAAAAACATCATGTAAAATTTATTCCAAATTCAATAACTAAAAAGTCCAAGCCGTGTCGCTGTCCAGAACAAACTTTTGCTATCCCTAACAGTAAAGACAGAGAGATAGAGCCTTGGGTCCATTATTAATTAAGAGCATCTAAAGTCAATTTTAAGAAGGCATCTCACTATGATGCCAGCCCATGAAGGAGATGAAAAAGGCCCCAACTCACTTATGAAGGGCGGCAACTGAGATTGACCACTCTGCAATCTGCGTACAGCTGGCTATCTTGACTCAACTAGCAGATCTGTACTCCTGAATTTTGGTGATGGCATGGGCGCAAAAAAATAAATAAATAAAAGTAGGGAAGATTCAAAATGAGCCACTCAAGCTTTGGATCTTTTTAAAAATTTCCACAAACCACTCGTACAATTGTACTACACTACAGCGGTTGCTTATGGAAATTAATGTTTTGCATTCTTGATTAGTCTGTTTCATGTTCGCGTTGTTACCATTACCTAACCGGAGAAGAAACTCCAATCAGAATTCTAGACACTGACACTGTCCAATGTCTTCACTCAGTGGTCTGTCTATCTACTTGGTATAGTTTTCAAAGTGGGCACTTTCAATTCTATTGCCCTCCCTTGTTACTGTACCATTTCCTCTCCCCCAGGAAATCCTTCAACTAGTGAAACTATACTACACTACCTTCAACAGAGGCTTCCTCGATGTAGTAATATGGGGAGAGCTCTCCACCCTTACCAGCTTTGGACTTGTTCTCCCCACCCGCCTCTTGCAACAATTTGACCACCTTCCGCATTGAGGGGCGGTTAATGGGAAGTGCGTTAGTGCAAAGGAGACCAATATCGAGTACCCTGCAAATTTCTTCCTTGTAGGTGGAGTCCAGTCTGGGGTCGATTACTTGATCCGCACCCTTTTGGTCGCAGGTAGCACAGACCCATTTTACCACGTCTTTCTCCCCAAACTCTGGATCAGTTGGGGGTTTACCAGTAACCAGCTCTATGATGACCACACCAAAACTGTAGATATCACTCTTCTCATTCACTCGTAGGGTATAGGCATATTCTGCATTGAAATGAAGACAAAATTGAACACGAAGCGCTGATATAGATGTTGCAGGAAAGATTACTAGTTACTCTAATTTATAGGGGATTATACTGTCAAACAATGTTCATATTAGCAGGCCAATAAATATTCAAAATGAAAACGGGAAATGAAATTTGGGAAGTAATTCAAATGAACAAGCATCAAGAATTAGCAAACCTGGTGCAATGTAACCATAAGAGCCCGCAATCACAGACATCGATTCTGCACCTTTACCAACTCTTTTAACAATCTTAGCAACACCAAAATCTGCAACTCTGGCACCAAATTCTTCATCTAACAATATATTGTTCGATTTCACATCGCGATGAACAATTGGAGGAACACAGTCATGATGCAAGTAGGATAATCCCTCAGCTGCATCTAAAGCAATCTTATACCTAGTGGGCCAATCTAACAACCCCCCCTTGCTACCATGCAACAAATCCCCCAAGCTCCCGTTTGGCATATACTCGTACACTAAAAGTTTGCTATCTCCAGCGTTGCAACAACACCACAGTCTCACAATATTCTTGTGTCTAATCTTTCCCAGCGTTTCAACTTCGATTTCAAACTCATCTCTCTCTGTATCAGCACTCAAAGAATCTTCTTTCTTAACTCCTCCGCTGAGTTTCTTCACGGCCACTGCATCACCATTACTAAGCACAACTTTGTAAACTTTGCCAGAAGCTCCACTTCCTATCACATTCTCTTCCTTGAGGCAATCAGCAATCTCAAATTCACCAAAACCAATCTTATGAAATGATCTCCACTTTGATATAGTAGCTCCTTTCTTGTTGTTTTTTATACTCCGGTACTTCATGTAGAACCAAACAACTCCTACAACAAAAACCAAGCCAGCAAGAACAAAAATGGATCTAAGAATCCACAAATAACTCTGGTTCTTAGATTGGCCTATCTTAGGACAAAGACCCTCTAAATCACCACACAATCCGGGATTTCCGACGAAGCTATTCCTATACATTTCCTTAGCATAAAAAGGAGGGAGCTCGCCTGAAAGCTGGTTATTCGACAAATTAAGCACATTCAGCTTTAAATTCTGCAACTCAATTGGGATTTTCCCAGAAAATGAGTTACTGGACAGATCGAGATAATTAAGCACAGGCAAGCTACCAATATCACTAGGAATACTACCGGATAGCCTATTGTTAGCCAAATTTAACTCATTCAAATTCATCCATCCTTTAATTCCGTCCGGGATCCCTCCATCAAGCTCATTTTCACTAAGATCAAGCCTAACCAACTGCCTCAATTTCACCAGAGATCCAGGAATCCGACCGGTGAAGCCGTTTCCACTCGCAGATATCTCTACCAGTGCCTCCAATGAACCGATTTCATCAAGTAACGATCCGGAAAACTGGTTGTTGGAAATTGACAGAACTGAGAGGTTATGAGCACTTGAAATCATCTTTGATATTTGCCCACTAAGGGAATTTTCTGCAAGCTCAAACAAGAATACTCTGGGTAGTCCCCAGAATCCGTCTGGGACCCGACCCGAGAAATGGTTGTGCTTGAATCGAACCCGGCCCAAGCTCCTGCAATTGCCTAGGCTTTCCGGGATTTCGCCAGAAAATGAGTTGTAGATCAGAACGACATCTTCTAATTTCCCCCTTGCGCACAAATTCTCCGGGATTTTACCAGAAAATTGATTATAAGACAAATCCAGACTTAGCAATGGCGAGTTTTCACCGAGTTGACGGGGCAATGGTCCACTGAGTTTGTTGTTGAACAATTTCAGCTCGTACAAGTCTTTTGACCGAGTTATGCTCTCTGGTAAAGTCCCTTCAAGCCTGTTATCAAAAAGATTCAATGACTCAAGCTGTAACCCGCATAATTCAGTCGGAATTGTCCCGGTTAACTCGTTCATGGACGCGTCGAATCGCTTCAACGTAGTTAAATTCCCCATATTCAACGGCAATTCACCTGATAAAGAGTTGTTATATAACTCAAGTTGCTCAATGCTTTTCAACTCGGTAATTGAACTAGGGATCGACCCAGTGAGCCGGTTAAAAGACAAATCAAGGTTTATAAGCCGAGTCAACCGACTGAAACTAGAAGGAATCTGACCCACGAGATTACAGCCGGCGAGAAAGAGCTGCTCAAGATTCGTTAGGTTACCGAGTTCGCTCGGAATATGACTAGGTGAAAACGGGTTATAAGCGAGGTCGAGTTCTTTGAGAGTCGAAATGTTTCCCAGGAAAGGAGGAAACGTTCCGTCGAGGAGATTTCCCGCCAAATTTAACAGCTCGAGCCGTTGGAATTGTCCGAAACTCTCGGGAATTTCGCCAGAGAAATTATTTCCAAAGAGAACTAAATTTTTGAGCATCCGAATTTTGGCCAGGGAGTCAGGTAGGGAGCCCACAATGAGGTTTTGTGAGAGATCGAGGGTCGTTAGATTTTGACACGTGGAAATCTCAACGGGCAGGAGTGAGTTGATGGAGTTGTTGACGAGAGAGATGGTGCGAAGAGAAGGGAGGCGGCAAAGGAAAACCGGGAAAGGTCCAGCGAGTTGGAAGTCAGAAAGGTCTACTGAGTCGACTCGTCCGGTGACCGAGTCGCAGGAAATGCCGCTCCAATTGCATGGGGTGTCGTCTCGGTCGTTCCAGGAGGTTAGGGCGTTGGTTGGGTCGGAAAGGCTTTGTTTGACTCGCTGGAGGTACAGACCTTCCTGGTTTAGAGCAAAAGCAAGTGGCAGAGGATTCAGAAACAGAAGCAAGAATACTAGAAACATTGTTTCCGTTCCTGGGTTCGGCCTTTTTTTTTCGGCTTTTGTATTTTTTATGGTCTTGGATTTTATAGAGTAAAAGCAGAAAGGGGAGATCGAGACTGGAGAGTTGGCTTTCACTTAATCTCTTTCCACTTTGTGTGTGTAGTTTTGTGAGTTTCAGGACATCGTTTGAGACTGCGCCTTCACGGTCGCTCTCTGATACTAAAATGATTTAGTAGTGCCTTAAATTATAAAAATTTGATTTTAATAGAATTTGAAATTGTTATTATCTAATCAAATTTAAATTTAAATAATTTAATTTTTTTATCAAATTAAATTTAAAATATTTTTATATTCAAATCAAATAATTTATAAATTTAATCAAAATTTTATATTTTAATTATTTTAGTTAATAAAATATTTTAAATTTACATTCAAATTTAAATATAAATAATTAAATTTTTATTAAATATAAAAATTAAATTTATTTTTATATATTAATCAAATCTAATAAATAAATTTAAATAATTTATTTTTTATCTTCAAATTTGAATTAAAAAATTAAATTTTAATTTAATACTGTATTAATTTAAATTTGTTAAACTTTTAATCAGAGTCGGGATTAGATTTGGGGTCGGGGTCGAGCTGGAGGCGAGTGGGACCTTTGCTCGGATGAGACAGATTACATGGGGATCATGTGCAATTTGGATAAATTTTCTAGTCCAAAAAGTTGTTTGAAACTTGGACATATGATTCAAACATGGGAAATTTTGCAGTCAAATGAGTCAGTAAGGACAGTGCTTTTGGAAACATTTCCAGTAGATAATTATTACTTAGACGGTTAAATTAAAGTGTGTTTAAATTACAGTCAGACAACGAGCTGGATTCTCTGCTGTTTTAGTTTAACTCCCAACAAGTACTCCACTGTAGAATACTAAAATGGATCGTAATGCTATGCTGTTTTTACTTTGATTTCTCGTGAAACTAATTGGCTCCTTCTTGTTCGCTTTTATATTTTTACTTTACAGGATGTGCTAAATCAAGCGGAAATGCTAAAAGTAACATGAAAAATGTACTAACCTGAAGAAAAAGAAAATAAAACAAAAAAAAAGAAGATTTTGAAGTTAAAAAGATTGTTCACCCAACCTAACATTATGGATTTGTTGAAATTTAATTATTAAGGTTTCTAAGCTTTTGAGTTCTGAATATAAAATTTATTTCAGCTCATTTATATCATTATTTTTAAAAAATAATATTTAAAAAATTATAAATATTAAATTTTTTATTTTCATGTTATGATTTTTTTTTGTTATGTTTTTGTTACGGGATGATTTGATTTACAATGATGGAATGTCAGGCTATGAGTACTTGGATTGGATTTTTATTAAAGACAAAATGACGTTTGAGAACGTTTCTAGATGATAGAATTATTCGGATGAGTTATTGTAGTAGCAAGTGATTTTCCAGAATGCCAACATTATGCAGCAAGGAATAACAAGGTATCAATTCTTGTGAACTGAAGTTGTAAGCAAACAAGAAAGAAATTTGTTCGACCCTTGCAATAAAGGGGGAGGGGATTGCTGACTAGACTCAAACAGGAATAATGATAGAGTTAAAAGAAAAAGAAAAGTAAGAACATAATTATTGCAAGAGGTCAGGCGAAGGGCCAAGTATAATAAAATTATAGGCCAATGGCAAGAAAAAAAAAAAAAGCATAACGATAATATGCCAGCTTTAGAAGTCTACTGATCTGTTGCCAATGTGAAAGGGATATTAATATATGGACCTAAAGCCATAGATTTTAAATTTATGATAAAATCCTTCAAAAGAGACCGGTGGGACCTTTGTCTGCATCTGGAGTCGATAGACTTTGAACGTTGAAGTTTGAAACATAAAAGGGCAAGTTTGAATGAAATGTGAAGATGCATCTCGTCAAAATTGTCATCGTAATGACAAACAGTGGCTTCCAATGCATGTGATATTATTTCTATGCTGTCTTCAAAAAGTAACTTAAATCGACTTTAATTAGATTTTTATTCATTGAATCAGAATCCGAGGGTTTTTCTTTTTATTCTTTCTTTTTCAGGAATTCATTTTTAGAGTAGAATTTGCACATGTTATAACAGTTGATTCCTAATTATCTCCAACTCCTAATAATTTATAATACATATATACGTAATGTTCTTTTATTATTTTTATTATAAAATTAATAAATATACAGCGATGCAATTAAAAAAAATTGAAACTACGCACGTGCAATTGACAAATTGGCCTTAAAAGGAAGGGCCCCATTGGGCAATTGATTGTTGAAAAACGTTGCTCATTTTTGTGATAGCCAATGATGAATGCACATCACCATCCTCTCAAATTTCCGCAGTTTATAATTGTTTGGTAAATTAGAATTTTGATACGTCCAAATCAGAGCACCGCTCAATTTCCCAAGACGAGGGCTGCTCTTTTTGACCGTTAAAGTTCCAGCAAGTGCATTTAGATAATATTCATCATTATTACTCATTTCGTCTCATTAATTAGCAATTTTTGTTAATATTTAGATTTTGTTTGATGGATATTTTTATTATATATTTTTATTACAAATAATAATATCAACTTAATGAAACTAGTATTTTAAAATAATATTTTTTAGTGAAAGCTGAATCATTGATGAGAAGTTCTAAGAAATTCAGACAACAATTTCATTCCTTCTCCTCTCTAATGAGTTATAGTTTTAAATTATTGAATATACACGTGTTCATCGTAAAATAAAAATAAAAATAAAATTGCATGTCATGTTTAAATCACATTACTACTTGCGTTTTTACGAAGAAAACACAGGACACATGTTTTGCCCTTTTCATACTTTATCTTCTTTAAAGGTTTGCATGGATATTGACACGACATCACAATGCAACCAATGATAATGAAGCGGCAGCGTATGATTGATAATAATACTACATAGAAATGTTGTCTTGGTGAGTTTGGTCAGTTTATTAACTCCGTTATAATGTACAAAACTTATGGTACATTTTGCATAGGTTAGGAGATTAATTTCAATAAACTTAAAAATAATGATAAAAGTGAGATTAAATATGATAATGGTGAGATTAAAATTAATAGTAAGATGTGTATTTGGATGCAAACACAATAATTATAATGTGATGAATTATAATAAAAAAGAAAAATAATTATTAAAGATATTAAATTAAACTTATATATAATTTTAAATTATTTAACATTTATGAAAGTAATTAAAAAATATTAACATTATTTTTATGTCAAATAATAATTTTTTAATAGATAATTAAAAAATAATAAAAATGATAGTAATATATTAAATGAATCTTTTTTTTTAAATTTACGTATCTATTGAGCTCTCAACTTTTGTTATTTACTATATATTTGATTAGTAATCTATACATAAATTTTATTTATTAAGCGTTGTTAACTTATCTAATTCTAGATGAATTATTTATTATTTATTTATATTAGTTTAAGGTTTTTAAGGGACATTTTAAGAAAAATATTAATTACTTAAGGGTAAATTTTGGACAAAATAATAATAATTTGATAAAAATGAAATGTTATTTTTTAAATTCAAAAAAATTAATTTAATTTAATTTTTAAATATAAAGATAAATTTGTTTTTAAAGAATACCAATAAAGATAAAAATGTCCAAAACATATTATAGACACCCATTTGTGTTCGGACCCAATTGAATTGATTTCTGTTGTTATTAGTATTTTTGTTATTATTATAATATATATTATAATATGATATTATGATATACTATTGTAAATTATTTTTTTTCTTTTTTTTCTTTTCTTCTTTCTTTTTGGCTCCAATCCGCATTGAATAAGGAAATTTGGAATCAGAATCTCGCCAGTTCAGTCAAAGTTAATGCAAAATCATATCAATGTGATTGTTGAAATTTAAGGACCTAAAATCACACTTAGATAGAATTCAATCATGGGATTCAAGCTTGAGATTGATTCTATCTATTTCCTAAAATCGTCCCTAGAACTACCTATAAATTAAACTAGTATTATAGGGGACGAGCACACACAGAGAGATTTTTTTAGAGAAAAAATATTTGAAAAAATTTTGGCAGTAGGAATTTCTAAAATTTTGGTATTGGGATTTGGGGTTCGATTTGCAGTTTTGGGCTTGAATTTAGGCTTCTAGAGTAGGTTTAAGGTTTTAGAAGGTTTCGAAAGAGATTTGGAGTTTTTTGGAAAGGTTTGAGGATTTTTTGGGTTTTTCTAAATTTTTTTGGGATTTAGAAGAATTTATGAATTTTTTGACAAAATTTTCTAGCGATAGTTGAATTTTTCGATAGGATTCCGACTACTTTTCCAAAAACTAGCAAGATTTACAGTTTTTTATTGAACTTTTTGACGAATTTCCCAGAAATCGATGGACTTTTCAGTTTTTGGTTGAACTTTTCGATACTATTCTTGGGGTTTTAGAGAGAAGGTAGAGGATTTTTTGGCTAGAGAGAGAGGCTATGGGATTTTTAAAGCAAAAAAACGTTGAAGCTGACTTATATATTACCTTCGCATGACATCATTTTGGGCGATTTAGGATCTGCGTGTCGACCTGCGTCAACCCGACCCGAATCACAAAGTTTCATTTTCTTTTTTTTTTAGTTTATTTTTAGATTTCAATTTATTTATTTTTTATTTTTTAGTTTCTATTTTATCTTCTTACATAATTTTATTTAATTTTTGTATTTTTGCATTTATTTAATATCTTCAAAAAAAATAAAAAAATCTTTTCTTTCTAGAAGAATAGAAGAAGCTGGATAAAAAAAATCTTTTCAAGTTTTCAAAAAATATATATATTTATAAAAACAAAAAAAAAATCTTTCCAATAAGAAATAAAAAATAAATAAAAAAATCTTTTCAAATAAAAATCCTTACAAAATAAATTCATGAATTCCATTAAACTATTGGAGAATTTTATGGGTTTAATTTTTAAAATGGAATCCACCAAACTATTGAAATTTTTCATAAATCGATTTTAAAAAATAAAAAATTAAAAAATAAATAAAAATAATTTTTTTCTCTTCTAAACTATTGGAGGATATTCTCAAAGTGAGTACTACTAAACTATTTAAAGACTTTACTAATCTTTCTAAATAAAAATACATTCATAAATCTGATGATAGAGCCTCTTCAGAATGAGACACTAGTCTCTA